TTTCAACAGAATTAAGCATATAGTAAACAGCAATCAAGCAAAAAGAAAAAGCCCTATAGGTMATCTTATGACAAAAAGATTATAAAAAAAAAACAAAACCAAAAACCGGAGCTACTGTCAGTGAACATGTGCATCCACTTACACAAAAGTGAATTACACCAAATGATCTGATTTTGCCTAACACATTGGGAAGTAAGCAAAAAATCTCTAAATATTMCAGCCTACAAAATGGTTTCAACAGAAATAACCATTAGTGCCCCATCCTACCTCCCCAGGTGAGGTTTTGGGCTGCCTGAAATCCAGCAAGTCTCTACACTCTCTTTCAAAATTTGTATCCTGTCTAGCTTCCTTTTTGTTGTAAAAATCCACCAATACTAGACGTCCTATGGAGTAAAAAAAAATCAAATTTGTATGTATACACTACATACTAGAAACACTTGCAAGACTGTACGTATTGTCATCTGAATTAATTTTATACATATACATACCCATATAATCATTGCACCATGACACCCAGCTCCACAARGAGTTCTACTGTGTCATACTAAATGAGAGTCAGCTGAGGTTACCTTTGAGACTGAATTATCATTATAAAAGCAAAGCTTSATATAAAAGCTGTGAATTTCCATATGCTCAATGTCTACAGTATCTTGATCAGAGTAATAGTAAATGATTTGGCTGGCTAAGTTCAACTCAGTGCAGTGCACTCAGGAGGGAGGGCTGTTGCTATATATAATCAAGCTATTTCTGACCTTCTGAGCCATTCCATCAACTGCAGAATATCAGCATCACCTCCGACAACTGCTCCCCATCAAGGCCAGATGACAATAAAAGCAGTATAAGCCTACTTTGCTGATTCATGGAGTGATCTCATTAGATCTGAGCCCAAACTGCTGCTTARAAGATGAGGGAGACAAAATATACTGCAACTACAGTGCAAAGATTAAATGTGAGTAACTTGGATAGATGAGCCAAGTGCAAAAGAAGCAGTAATATCAGAMTACTTGAGTCAGAAGACTGGTGGACCACATCAGAAATATGATTAATCAGGAATCCTTTCAGAGGATTCAGTCAACTTCCTTATCCCTTGAGAAATGTCTCTAAACCAAACGTTATTCTCCTGCTTTGTGTCCAACAAGCACACTGATTGCTGAGTGAATATATTTTTGGATAAGCACATACTCCTCACAGAGGACATGCTTAGGAGTTTAGGAAAATATGCTGCTTCTGAGCAGAGAGGTCTAGGGCAGAGTGAGAAGAGCCATGGTATYTCATAAACAAAAGAAGAAAAATTGTAATCATCTAGAATAACAGGTGCTTCTTTATCTTTTTTAGGCCAATCAAAACTACAACACCCTRCAATTAGTAAGACCAGTTTCAATTCAGCTTTAACCTGTCTTTCCCACACTAAAACTGGAAGGGATCCAGGGAGACAGAGACCTATTACTGAGCACTTACATTATCTGAAGGCATTGTATAGTACAGGGGATACCCTTAATTGCCTCCATGTCTGTAAAAAAATAGTAAAACACACAGAATGGATACATACTATGGGGAAATATGTTCCCACACTATCACTGCATTGCTAAACTCCTGCCATCTTCCAAATTACTAGATAACASTGCCTTTGTGCTCTAGTTATTCTAGTTTCCTAAAATGTACTTTGTGTTTAAGGAAAGACATGAATGAGAAGGAAGAAAAAAGAGAAAAGGCAGTTAAGTATTTTAACACCTCATCCATAATTATGATAACCTCATCAGATACACCCAATAAATCTTGTGGCTATGGATTATACCTTAGACCGAAGCTTATTTCAGGAGCACTGATCATCATCAGATCCATTTGACGAAGTGATTGAGCATATAATTAATGTTCTAATCTAACTTTTCCTTTCATTCAAGAGGACTGGTCAGGGATAGCASGACAAAGAAATCAATAAAAAGTAGCTCAATTGAAAGCTGAAAAAAAAGAAGTGTCTGGATTATTTCTATGGCTTAGCTAGCAGATTCACCAAACCAGTAACAAAACAAAACAAAAAAAATCCCCATAGGATTAACTCTGTAAATAATAGGTTTATATGTAAAGAACAAAATTTCCAAGTTCTATCATTTCAATTCCACCTGCAAATATGTACACATGAATAGATACATATATAGAATATAAATATGTATGTCAACCTCTAACCCTTAGCACTGCAAGTTGTATCCCCCAAACATGTCAAGAACTTTGTAAGCAAAGACATGTAAAGTCCAACTCCTGTAAACTGTATTTCTTACTACTGTGAGGATTCATGACATTGGCGACCCTTCCCATGAAGCACAGGAAGCAAACTATACCACTCCAGCAGCCTAGCAGTCAGCTGCTATGAAACAGTCTGAAAACAATGGACATAAAATATGTAATCAGATTCTTAATATCTTGTGTCTGCTTACCTACCAGCAGACAGAATTACAAGAGCACCTGTATTAGAGTTAGGGTATCTTACCAAGCAAAACAGGGTCGTATCTTACCAAGCAAAACAGGTGTAATTGATGTTACAAATACTACAGTACAGTCATAGAAGTAAAATAGACCTGCAAGTTTGGTAAAATGTATTACAGAATCTACTTTTATTTTTTTCTTTATCTGCTATCACTTGAAATGTTAAATATCTGCAAAAGTGTATTCCAGGATCCAGAATGTTAATCAGTCATCTACAACTTGAGTTTTGAAAGAAAAATATGTTGTTTTAATACACAGAAGAAGGAAAAAAAAAGTCAATTTTAAAGATATTCCTCTCTTTCCCCTTCTAAATCCTGTGTAATTGCACTTTTAATTGATGATGTGCTTGAAGCATTGCTGGAGCTCCCAACAATCAAAGGACAGAAATCTGAAAAAAAACAGTTAACAATAAGCAATAATAAAGATTGATCGTTCTCCCATTCAAAGTCATATACAATTCCCCTSCTTTCATCAGTGGAAGGCAGGTCCAGCTGTTTTGCTCTGCTTAAACAAAATGCTCTACATGAAAAATACTCTTGTACCATGCTGTGTGGATTAATCCCACACAAAACATCCTAATCCTTCTCTCACAGTGAAGTTTTGAAATTTGTTTTAATTTTAAAAGGAAAAAATACATACCTAAGTAATTGCTAATGAACYATCTTTGGAGGTCTCTTACCTACAGTCAGGCTAGCAGAACACATTTCTAGATATAAATTTCAAAACCAGTCTAATGACTCCCTCTACAAGAGAATTTTAAAAGTACTGATTTTCTTATCTGTATGTACAACTAACACTTCAAAATATAATGCATTGCAAAATTAAAAATTATTTTAAATAATGAAGAAAGGCAGAGGAAGTGGATACAAGCTACTACATAGAGTAGCTTCTCCAATGGTAACAACAGGCCACATCAGAATTAGCAAAAATGTGAATTTAACTTTAGGCTGAAACTCTCTCTCTGGCTAACTGTTCCTCCATCAAAACACAGTCCTGCTGTATGTGTATTGCAGTTCAGATGCCAAGAGATGCAATATCACGCACTTACTTTCAACACTTTCAACATCATACAGATCGCAAAGAAAAATATTAACGGTTTGATATAATCTAAAAAGTACTTGTAATTGTACTCATTACTCCAACTGTAATTATACTGCAGTATTTAACTCAATTGYTTCAATTAACTTTTCACAGCCTCAGATTTTCAGACAGATGACTACTTTTGCTGCCCTGTTTCAGTAAATCTGTAAAGCGACACAGAAGTTAACAACAGCCCGTGACAACTTATTTTTCAAATTAACATGGTCTTCTCAAYCAAGCCAGGAAAACAGGCAAGTTCTAACCAGGGAGAGGGAATGCTTAGGAAATGTGAAATGCTCCCTGGCAGATCAGATGTTTTTTCATTTTTTAAGTATCTTCACAGCCCTTCTCTGGCATGTGGTAACTACCGGTCTTCCTTTATCTTCCCTGACTACCACTAACAGCATGCCTAGGAAGACAACATTGAAAACACGTAGGTGTTGGCTTGAGGAATTGTTCTTTTGTTCTCTGCTGTTGAGGGAACACCACCTTTGTCAGGCGGCGCAGCAGCGTGCGCAAGTGAGCACCCAGTCGGCTTCAGCTGCCTCCCCGTGACAGGCGGCCCCTGCTCAGCGCCCGCACGGAAACACTCWCACAATATACACTCACTGTTGACCGCTAGTGTGACGTCTTGTGTTTAATATACGTATATAGGTATTTATGTATTTGTGAAACGTGGGTTTTGAGTTCAGCAACCTAGGAGAACAGTGAGTGTGGTTCGGTGATGAAGAGCGTCTGGCGCCTTTCATTACTGAGCTCCCACACCCTGACAGCCCAGGGAGCGTTCCGACACTCGGCACGGAGCGCTCATTGATACCATTTGCACTGGCCCGGCACAGCTCTGCTCAGCCCCGGGCTGCCCGTTCTCACCTGACAGCCCCGCTGAACAGCCGCCGCCAGTCCGCAGCTCCCCRCCGCCGCTCCCCGGCCGCGCAGGAGACACAGGCGCTTAGCCCCAGGTAACTCTCCGGAGAGCGGCCCTGTGTGGGGGTCACGGACAAACTCTCCCGCCGCGGCCCGTCGCCACTGCACTTCTTGCTGGGCTCCCCGAGGGGGGCGGGCAGGACCTCTCCGCAGCCCGGGCGTGGTGGGCTTGGTCCGCACAGGTGCCGGGAGGGCCCTTCTCCCCCGCCCGCCGCGGCCGGCGCAGGTGGCGGGAGGGCTGCGCCCATTCCCCGGGCCGACCTCGCCTCCTAGCGCCCGCGCGGACCGCGCTGCAGGCAGTGGGAACGGCGCGCCGGCTGCCTCCCGAACCCTCCACCTTCCTTCATCGGGCCCGCTACATGACCGACCGAGGGGGCAGGGAGAACGTAAGGGCCCGCTAAGGCCGGCAGAGAAGCAGCGACCGAGGGAGACGCCGCGCTGACAAGGCTCCTCGGCTGCCCTTGGGCCCGTCCAGCCCAGCCAAGCCAGGGGCGACGCGGGGGGCTCGGCGTTACCTTTCGAAGAGCAGCCGGATCATGAAGATGCAGAAGGCCAGGGGGAAGGCGAGGTAGAGGTCCTCCGCCTGCGGGAAGGTGGCTTCGTCCGTGCTCTGCAGGTCCGCCCAGGTGACGTTGTGCGGCAGCCAGAACCGCTCGTTCCAGAACCAGGCGAGGATCCCTGCCATCTTTGCTTTGTCTGCCGCGGCGTCCCTCGCTCCGCTCCGCCCGCGGCGAGGCGCGTGTGAGCCGCTGCCGGGAGAGAGGAGGATGGAAGCGTGTGTCAGCTCCGCAACCGCGGATGATGCTGCCAAGCGCCGCCGTGCAGGTTCCCCGCCTGGCGGGGGCAGCGGCCGCCCCGCCTGTCACACAGCCGCGCCGGTCTCCATTGGCTCCCGCCCGCGCCCGCCGCTACTCCGGGCCCCGCCGGGCGGGCCGGAGCCGCCTTCCCCCGCCCCTTTTCCCTGCCGAAAGACCGCACCGAAGCCCGAAAGCAAAGTGACGCGGCTCCAGCGAGCGGGGACCCCCTCTCAGGGGGGCACTCACCGCGGCCGAAGCTGCCGGCAGCAGCGCTGTACCCACCGGGCGCAGCCCCCGCCTCAGCGCCGGCCCGGGGCCCCGCCGGCCTGGCGGCTCCGCGCMGTGTCACCCCTCGCCCCTTCGCCGCCCGGCCGGCTCCCGGCTAGCCTGACAAGGCTGTCCCCGATTGGAATAGGCAGGAGGCAGCAGTGAAAAACCCGCTGTGAGCCACAGCAGGCCGTAGTCTGGTCCCCSCAAGTGACCCCCTGCCCAGTGCGCTGCTCCGGCCCTCTTGGCTGAGGCGTTYAACCGGGAGCGGGACTGTCCCGGGTGGAAGGGCTCTCAAACATTCAATGACTTTACCCTGAACATGGCTACAGCAGACAGGCGAAAATTTTACATGGAAAGGCGTTGGAAAGCACACAACTCATCAGCAACAAAATKAAGGTTAGGACTGTGGCTTTGCATTGCTGACTAAAGAAAACATTTTTGGTTTTACAAAGGTTTTTACTTCTGATTCCTTAKCTCACTGACATATCTTGCTAGAGATAAGCTGCGAGAGAAAAACTGCAATTGATTCCACTATACTTTACAGCAGSCTTTAGAATAGCTATAGCCATAGGACTGTACATGTGGTGGTCCAGGCACACACAAAATTACTTCAAATAGTAGGTATACCTACCACTCCTGTAACATCACTGTTTAGTCTGCCCTGCCTCAGTTTATTTTAGATGGCTTCAATTTCTTCCCTGTATCATCATACTTTCCATCAGGMTATTGAATACTGAGACACAGACTTCTGCATATGCCATACTTCAGTGTTTTATCATCCTGCTTTTATGTTTTATGCTAACTTGCTCTTTTCACCCCACTGGCTTTATTTGCCCTTCCTGAAAAATTAATTGCATAGCTCTTTGTGTCTGTGCTGACATTTCYGTGCTGAATAAAATCATAAGTCAAACACAATGCTGTGGAAAACATCACATCAATTTAAAGAAAGCAAACAACCTCTGTACATGGAGATAATTTCCATCTAGGACATTTTAGGGAAGTTTCAGGAAATGCTTTGGCAGGATGTCTGAGGAGCCTTGCAGGTAAATCTGCCAGGGAATGTTTCTGCTTTATTGCTGAGATAATTTCCTAAGTGTATGTATTATTATTCTGATTAAGTTCTTGTGGTCACTTCTTGGGGAAGGAGCACGGACACCTAGTCCTTCCAATTGTCTGGAAAAAAGTGTGAATTCTAGCACCACTGCCAGATCTGCCTGTCCAATCTCTTCCTTTACTGTGTTTGATTCTTCCCTTCCTTCCTTCTTCTTTGCTGTAATTTCAGTGCAGAGGGAAAGCAGAGCATGAGTTGCGTACCCCTAATGAAGCTTTCTTCGCATAAAGATAWGATTTTCTAACCATAAGAAAGCATTTATTTGCTCAAATCAGCAAGACTACTTTTATCCAGTACCAAAAAATTGCCTATCCTTCTTCATTCYATCTTCTCTGCCTTGTTCTCACAGCCAGATTTCACCCCTCTTCCAGCTGACCTAGAACTTTTCTACAATTTCCCCTGGGAGCTTATCTTTCATCACTGTCTCACAGACATTTGAGTTGGCTCCTGCACAAATACATATGCCTCTCAAATCATCCAAACCAGTCCGTTTTCTGAATGAACTCACATAAGTGARTTTTAAATGGAAATATGAGTGCATGTCCCCAAAATGACCTCAGAAGCATCAACTTTGAAATCTGATGAAAAGCTCTTCAGATATCATTTTTATATCTGTCAATACACAGATAACCATTTAATTTATTAATAATTGTATGTAAGGCAAAGTTATTTTTAATCAGAAAATCAGTGCCATTATCCCACAGCTGAAGGTGACCTGTCTTTTTGCAGCCTATTTCAGTATTCCAATCAGTTTAGGAGTRCATCCAGTATTTATGTCTGTTTTCATTCCAATAAAGTAGTTATTTCTCAGTCATTACTGAGACTYACAGGTGCTGGTGCTTGGCTTTGCTTATGTACAGATAAAGGAAAGGAACAGATCTCTGYAAAATGAATCTAGCAACAGTAATAATGTGATGATGCATAAAAAGTTTATTCCTCCTGAACAATTAGTGTAATTGACTTTTGTGTCAGATTAAAATTGTGTCAGGACAATAGATCACTATATCTGAAATTTATCTGAAAATGAATGACAGTTCTGAAATGTTTGGAAGGATGACCAATTAAAAGCTTTTAATTGAATCCAAACTGCAGATATAGCAAATATATGACTATAGTATGAGGATGCCTGAATATTGTGCTTTGAAGGGAGATATTACCTCAGTGGTTTTTTTTTCCTGCCCTCTAAAGCCAAAACTTGGCTGTCCTAAAATAAGGTAGAGGGCTGAAACTGAGTCTGCTTCCTCCAAAACCCATACTGGATACTTTGTAATTACTAAGAAGAGTTAGTAATAATTACACAGAAACAGATACACAGATATCATAAAAGTTACTGAACTTATGTTACTACTCCAAAAAGAAAGAGAGAAAACTGATATGCTACTCATCACTAGTTCAAGACCTTGAGCCATATTGCTGGCCATTGGAGGAATCTGTCCATTGAAACGGGAAAAGATGCAGAAAAACCTCTTGATTTTAAAAGACTGCTGAAGAATTGAAACRATCAGTCAATTTTATTTGAATCTCATTTAGTCTGCTGTAATTCTGGAGTAGCACCAGCTTGCACTAGGGAACTGTGATAAGACTCTGGACCAGTTGTTTCAATGAAGTGGGTAATAACACAAGCCACTGAGACGTCTTGTTGTCCAAATCTGAACTGCATTATTCTTAAGTAGAAGAGATGGCTACAGTTGATTCTTGTAAAAGCATTGGTGCCAGTCCCATTTCCAGAKGTCAGTATCATTAGATTGCTAATGATGTGCCGACAGAAGCGCCAAGAACTGCCTGGGTGTTGTGTGAYTGCTCTGTGCCCTCCTGGGGACGGTGAAGGACCATGGGCACAGGGGAAGTGGCAGTGCAAGGCAGTGGCCATGAGCTGTCATTCTAAGATGCTTCTACCTGATGGTTCYAGCAGTTCTTGTGCTCTCTTCTAGCTTCTTATGCCACTAGTTATGCCAGGTTTTCTAGTGAAATAATTTCATCTAAGAATCACACTAACAGCAGCACTCTTCATTACAAAAGCTATGCTGGGCCAGTCCYGTCAATCCTGACTCCTATATGGGGTTGTTTAGTTTGAAGAGACAAGTCTGGCTTCACCCAGTTACCAAACAACATGTCCTGAATTCAAATCACTAGCAGAGCTCTGTGTAATAGCACTTAAAATACATCAATACAGAGGTGTCCCCAGGTTACATCACTTCTCAGCATTCCAAATGTTTCATCTTGGCAGACGAGCAAGTTTTGCCACTTGGAAAGACGTGCAATGGTAATTAGTTTGGCTGCTGTGGAAAGTTACATGAACAAGTAGCCCTTGCTGAAGGAAAGGTTTACAAGCTTTGGGATGGCTTTTGCTTTGTGCTGGGTTCCAATAAAAGTCAAGACCGGAAGCAGAACTGCCCTAAGRGGACTGTTCAGAAGGAGAGGAGGAAGCAGGGATTGCCTGAGTCACATGTCTCCRTGTTCGTTTGTCTTAATTGTTCACTTTGATTCAGCTTCCTGCTCTAGATTTCTAAATAAAGTGCACCAAAGTGTATGTGCTAATTATGATACCACCGTACTTCACTTGGTTGCAATGTTGTTTAACTATCCAAATGTATTCTAGACTGAACTAGGCCCACTCAAACTACAGTAAGAGTAGTCAGAGTCTTCCATACTAATTTTAAATAAATTATCCTGGAAAAAAAACTTGTAATGAGCAAAGACAGGCAGATGGGAAAAAAGTGCTGTTTTTATCTTAAACTAGATACACTGTGTTACACTTCAGCTGGCCCTTCAGAAATATCTGTGGCCAGGTTTGAGCTATAGAGTCACATTAAAATTTATTTAGTAAAGGGACTTTGAAAACCTACATGAAGCAAAAAATTACTGTATACTGTGTGCATCTTGTTTCCCCAGCATCCCCACATGCTCTGGGGGACTGCAGACTTTCAGTATCCAGGCCTTGTTTCCATGTTCAGTGAAATCTGGGCTCTGACCAACCATATTGGTGTGCTTGACTATCACATGTAATCTGGAGTCTCTGCCAGCTTTGTGTCAGCTATGAGGGAACAGACAATACCTGACTCTGCATGCAATGAGAGCGCTAATGTAGCATAAAAGTCAGCTACTACAATGCTGACCTGTCATATTATTTACAGGGGATTTGCATTGTCAGTGTGAGCTTCTGAGAGATCAGTGCCTCCTAGATCATTGCTGCAATGTGTTCCAATCCTGGCAGCCTGGGAGTCATTTGCTGTCTTGTTGAACCACAGTCCTGGAAATTCCAGAAATTACTGTCAGAACTAAATTTTCTTGTTTACAAATAATTTTCAGGCAGTTTCCAAGATAATTACATTCTGCCTAGAAGAATATTCACCTGGTCATCTCAGTTTTTTCTTCAAAGCCCTTTTAACATCACTGTCACAGTGTCATCTGGGAGTTACCTGGTAACACTTTGTGTTCATATCTGAATGAAACCAATGCTATTTAGGTTTGGTTTTAAGACCCTGTCTAGATGTAAATTATTATTTGCCTGGGAGCTAGAGGACAGTTRACTGGCTGGCAATAAATTTTTATTTTCTTCTCACAGATTTAAACATCTTCCTTATGAATTTCACTATACTTATGTCACAGCTGTACAGAATTTTATTTTCACTCAAAATATACATTTGGGTTGACTGAGATTGTTTCTAAATTCATGCTGA